AAAAAAAAAAAAAACCAGGTGTGGTGGTGTGCACCTGTAGTTTAAGCTACTAGGGAGACTGAGGCAAGAGGATGGTTTCAGATAAGGAGTTTGAGATTGCACTGAGCTATGAAAATGCCGCTGCAACCTAAACCCGGACAACAGCAAGACCCTGTTTTTAAACAAACAAAAAAAGCAGCTGGTCTGAGGGCATTGCGGTGGTGTTTACAATTGATCATAGCCAGTTAGAGTCCTTTGTTCTTTCTCCATTCCTTCTGCTTCACTTGACTAGCCTTTAAAAAACAATTTTAATACATAGGGTTATTTATACCCCCTACGGGTGTACTTGCTGGAAGGTGCTACCTCAGGAAACAAAATTTAAAAATTGTTATTTTTAATTGTCAAATTATAGGATACAATGTGATATTTGGATACATGTATATATTGTGGAATGAGCTACTCAACATATCCATCAACTGACACTCTTACCATTTCTTTGTGGTAACAGTTTAAAATCCATTCTTTTGGCTCGGCGCCTGTGGCTCAAGTGGCTAAGGCGCCAGCCACATACACCTAAGGTGGTAGGTTCGAATCCAGCCCAGCCTGCCAAACAACAATGATGGCTGCAACCAAAAAAATAAAATAAAATAAAATCCATTCTTTTAGCAATTTTGAAATACACAAAACATTATTATTAACTATAGTCACCTTACTGGGCAATAGATCACCAGAATTCATTGCTCTTAAGTAGAATTTTCTACTTGCTGACCAACATATCCCCTTTCCTCACCCACGGCCCACCCTCAACCTCTGGTTTTTACTCTCTACTTAAATAACTTCAACTTTTTAAAATTCCAGATATATGTGAGATCATGTGGTATTTATCTTTGCGCACACGGCTTATTTCACCTAGCATAATGTCCTCTAGATTCATTCATGTTGTCAAAAATGAAAGAATTTTGTTCTTAAGGCTAAAATTAATGTTCCATTGTGTATACACACTGCATTTAAAAATCCATTTATCCATTGATGGACACTTAGATTGATTTCATGTCTTGGCTATTGTGAATAATGCTGCAATGAACATGGAAATACAGACATCTCTTTAACATACTGATTTCAGTTCCTTTGGATATATACACAGAAGTGAGATTCCTGCACCATATGGTAATTTTTTGTAGTTTTTTTTTTTTTGGCAGGTTTTTTTTTTTTTTTTTTGGCTGGGGCTGGGCTTGAACCCGCCACCTCCAGCATATGGAGCCAGCACCCTACTCCTTTGAGCCATAGGCGCCACCTATTTTTTGTAGTTTTTTAAAATCATACATTCACCCAGGATGTTTTTAATTTTTTAAGAAACCTCCACACTATTTTTCAAAATGGGTATACTAATTTATATTCTCACCAATAGTGTACAAGTATTCCCTTTTCTTCACATCTTCACAAACACTTGTTATCTTTCTTAATATTGAAACTAGAATGGGACCATTTCTTTTGCAGTTGTTTTGATTTGTTTTATTGAAGTTTCTTTTTCTCCCTCTTTTGAAAACAATATTGACTTCACTTAAGAAACTTTGTTGTCATAAAGACACAAAAGATAAGTGGTTGTACAAGATGGTCCTTAAATTCTTTTCTAACACTGAGATTATAATTCTGCATGATGTTAATAGGATTTTGATTCTGCCTTATTGCATTATATACCATGCCTTTTGATATTCATTCTTTTTGGCAGTAAGTAAAGGTTTAGAGAGTATAACCAACTTGCAAGTAAAAGAAAAAAATTAACGGGTGGGGTGTTATTTTAGACAAGAGAAAATTTCACCAGCATCAGCCAGATTAGAGTTTACTGAAATTTCTCTGAGTTTGAATATATATCCTTAAAAATGGAAAAGTACTAGTTATCAAAAAGAATACTCCAAAGAAAAACAGTGTAAAAATACAGCAATAGGACTGCAAGATTTCCTGTGGTTGAATTATTGGAGGGCAGGGAGGTAAGATAAAGTGGGGTAATATCCCATCTCCCAACTAAATGATATAGCCACTTTGCAAACATAGGCAGGACTGGTAGAAGAAATGGATGGAGAGAAAATGTTAGCCTGTTTGTCTGAGTTACAAAAGGAATGCCTACATTCAAACCACTATTAGAAATAGTTTATAATTTATCATCTTAAAGCCTTACAGGACAATATTTGACACTACAGTATAAGTACATTAATTCACTTTTTTCAGTTGTTTCTCTTTTGGTGAACAGCTGATTCTGTCACACCTCAGATAGTATTAGAGCTAGCAGCATGATATTTTCTCAGCTCTTAAATTGACTTTAGATCTTTCATGAAATCAATCTGATTTTAATAAAAGGAACAACAAATTGATTGTAAAACATGGAGAAAAGGGGGCATTTCATTTAAAGCTCTTTTGGTGGAAAAATGAAATTGTAAAAAAAAAAACTTTAGGCTAGGTGCCTGTGGCTCACGCGGCTAAGGCACCAGCCACATACACCTGAGGTGGCGGGTTCGAATCCAGCCCAGGCCCACCAAACAACAGTGATGGCTGCAATCAAAAAATAGCTGGGTGTTGTGGCAGGCGCCTGTAGTCCCAGCTACTTGGGAGATGGAGGCATGAGCCTAGGAATTGGAGGTTGCTGTGAGCTGTGATGCCATGGCACTCTACCCAGGGTGACAGCTTGAGGCTCTGTCTCAGAAAAATTAAATTGTAATGCATACAGTTTCATTTTATGTACAGTTGTCCCTCAGACACAAAAGGGTGAGAAAGGAAAAGTAATTTTGCTTTCTTTTTATAAGATATTGCAATCAGTTATTCCAAAATGGAGAACAA